AAACACCAAATGTCTAATTGATTATCACTTGAGAAGACATAGTGCTGTTGGATATAAATATTTGCACATGGTACGGCCTAAAAATTGGGAAAAAATGACAATATAAAGATTGGTAACCAGCAGCTTTCACAAATGATTGGCTGCCATGACAAATAATAATCCAACAGTAGATATATTTCTGTTTAAAATGTGCATTAAAATGTTCGAGTTTACTTCAGGAACTCACATGAAGCAGATTATAACTCCACACAATGAATGCGACTGAGCTTTGAAATCACACAGCTGACCGAAGAGAAAACATCTGAGCTGAGGCAACGTTGCCACTGATCACATCGCAGTGTTTCTTTGATAGACTTCGCAGCCTTTAAAATGGGCTCAAAAGAAAGACGCCGCATGTTCCACCCAAGTCCTGCCAGGCTGCTTTCGCTGGGTGACACAGTTCCCAGCGACGCCGCTTTGTTGCGGGTACGTGGCCGCCGAGGGCCTCGCCGCCATATGGCCGGGTCATGTTTGGTTCAAGACTGCTTCTGGTGGCGCGTTTTTTGCGACATCTCTCTTGGCAGCCAAACAAAGCGATTCACTGTGGCGGAGGAATTAAAAAAAGAGCCGTGAAGCAAAAAAAAAAGTCGAAGTGTCATGGCGAGTCAGAGATTGGATTTGATGCGGAGCTGTGCGAGGTGATCACCGGAGGGAAAGATGATTCGGTGAATTCTAGCAAATGCAAAGCTGAGCGAAGGAACGGATGACTTTATTTAATGACCCTACCTTTATTAAATTCATTTACTGTCTTTAATCCCTCCTCTCAGTCCTATAAAACCCCGACGATTGTGCGTTGCTCCAGTGGCCCGTATAAAAGGGTGGCGCTTGTTATTTGGCTCCGTGAGCGAACGCAAGGCTTCCTGGAATAAGACGGGAGGTTTGTTCCGCAACGATGAACCAATGAACACAATCAAAACGAATAAAAGAAAACACTCGCTGCAGCTTTTTTCACCTTTTCTGCGTTGGTTTGAATGGAGCGTACCATTTGTTCAGGTAAGAATAGGGGTGACTTAAATGATTAAAAAGTACCCACAAGGCTCGCATCTACATATATGAATACACAATCAAATCAACCTTCTTTCAATCAATCTTTTAATCACGAAACAACAGATTTCAAAGAGTGCACATGTTTTAAACATCGTTAAATGAGCAAATGACCAACAACTACTTTCCAATTCAGTCCGATGTTTTCTTGAATTTTG